TTAATACTCGCTGCCCAGGCAGAAAGTCTTATACACCAATGAAGTTGCCATCGATAAAGTTTGTATACCATTTCGTCGTAGATAAGTGCATCTCGTATATGGTAGAAGGATCAAACTAAACACATACTAAAAACTGGAGTAGCTGTAAAATATCGACATCACACGATAGGTAAATAATGGATTTCAGTACTGCAGAAAAATAATGTCAAAAGGTATCTACTGGTTTAAAAAAATTAAGATTAAAGTTAATTAATCAACCTTTAAGGTATAAAATTTGATAGGTGTTATTATTAATAAAATAGTTTGTTTTATTTACCTATGTTGTTTTATTTATTCCTGTGGAATATTACAAATTTGTATTTGTACATAAGTTATATTGATAACTATAATCATAAATGCGGGTAGTTTCATAAAGCTTGAAAGTAAATAATTTTAGTAAATTTAATCTTTTTTATATTTTTTTGGTATGTAGTGTCTTGTTCTTGTTTGTTTTGTATTAACACATACCGTTTTTATTAAATAAAATAACTCAATTACATTTTTTCAGTTTTATACAGTTTTTTTTCACAATATTTTGAACTAATCACTTGTCATCTTGTCAATCAAATTTTAAATATATCCTGCTATGCGTTCCAGTTGTACCAACTTATTTCTTTGTAAAATAAAATAAACTACTTTGAAATTAAAATGACAGACACATCTATCACTGTCAAGGAGCTTCTCGTTGGACAGACTATAGTCCCGATTTACGAAAACGAAATACTGTTAACTGCATATTGCATTACAGTATAGGTTACATATCGAGAACTGTTAGAAAATGATAAAAAATGATAAAAAGAACAGACTTGAACAGAAATTATCTTTAATACTAAAATTAAATACGGTGTATTCCGTTTAAAATAAGAAATATGATTTTCTAAAATTTCATGAGGCAATTTTCAATTTGTCATTTTAGTATAAAATTGTAACTAAAATTTTGTTAACTTAAAAAATACTTTATTTATTAAATTACAACAACTTAAGTCTATAAGCAAAAGCATATTATCAAAAAATATATAAATAGAAAAAAATCAGACATATTTTATATTTTTTTGGACTTATTCACTCCTAATCCCATATTTTTTTAATTTTGTGTCTGGAAAAAAGTGTCGGATAGTTATTTTACCTATAATTTTACTGGACAGTCTATATTTCATGAAATTCTTTTGCGGCTCGCTTCCCTATTTTTCTTTTGTTTGCCATCAAAATGGCAGTGATAAAATCTCAAATCTCTTAAATTCTTTCAAAAATTTCTCTTCTAACATTTATCAAGGCAGTTATCCATTCTATAATAAAATACAAATAAACTAAAATTTACTCACTAACCAGTTTTAAGTTTCCATGCCGATAATAGAATCATTGGAGCCTTAATAAAGGGTAAATTAAGTTTTGAGACTTATTGCAAGTACCGTATGATCGAAAAAAAACAGCGTCTAGTGTAGGTTTGGAAATGACGATCATTGACATTGCCTATATAATTTTACATACAAAATGACAGGTATCTTTATTTTCAAGCCAGCTCTGACGTCGTTTTTTTACATCGTATGGTATATCTAGCATTCAAATGAAAGTGCACAAGTATTAATGAAACATTAATAACATTACTGTTATTATTTAGTTTCTCTGCAAAAAGCAACGTATCTAAAATTTGTTTTTATCAGTAATCTGCAATCTATAATCATAAATGCGGGTAGTTTCATAAAGCTTGAAAGTAAATAATTTTAGTAAATTTAATCTTTTTTTGCATTTTAACCCGATCAAACAATCGGAGGTTGACTACGTACTATAAAAACCAACTGAGATAGAGAAGGCGACATTGCCACATCTCAAATTTGCGCCTATCTACTTAGTTTGATTTGCAGAAAAGGTGACTTTAAAACCTTCACCGGATATCAAATCTCAATTTCTTAATTAAATTAATAGTTAATTTTTAAAGAAGCATGCGTAATAATATGTTATTAACGAGAGGATATATGCGTTACTATTAAAGGACATGTTTACTGTTTAATGTGCTGAAACGTCTAGAACTATTGGCAACGTCGCTGCTAGTCTTCCAGAATGAAATGAGCCGTCCGTCCCACCACCCCTCGCGACGGCCCTTGGTCCGTTATAGCGTACTACGTTTAGCTTACGGTGTGTTTGAAGTCGGAATCAAGTCCGAAGTGAACTTTTCAGTGTTTTTCAGTAGTTTTTGCTTTTGTTTAACGTACTTTTGAATCTGCGAATTTTCAATATGGTACGACAGTGTCAAATGTGTGGAAAAATAAGCTCAAATTACCCGAATTTGTCTTTTCACAGGTAGGTATTGTTTCCGCCGCGCCGGCGCTGTAATCGCCGTACATAGGCGTCCCACAAGGGAGCCTCTCACAATTAAAATAATTTCTAATTATATTTGTTGAATTTTGAGCTATTAAAACAAGAACGTAGTAGCCGGTAATTGAATTATAATTCGTCTCAATTACTACTTAATTGTTGTAGATCATAACAAATTTGAATATAAACGTTGCATTTATAAAAACTTTATTATAAGCCAAAAAGTGACATTCTTTTGCTTAAAATTGTGTCATATTTTGGTCATTATATAGGATATTGTAAAGGCATTTTGCTCAACAAATAAACAAAGGTGTTTACCCGCCCTTTTTCACATTTTATTGCATTATTATATCTGCCCCTTCGGCCTCGTTTAAACAATTTTTTACCACCGTACAAATACCTCTTCCTAGAGTTATTTGTACGGTGTGTTTACCTTTTTTTAGAATGGGACGAACTGTAAATAATTCTTAGACTACTAGTTTTATACATACCTATATACAGAGTGACTCAGGCCTCCAAAAAATCTTTTTACCTATTACGTTTTTGGTTTGTAATTTTATTTCAATTTTTTTACATATGGGGGCCATTGTAACGCACATTTTCAAAATATTTTTGTTAACATACAGGGTGATTCTCGGGGTGATTCAAACCGCTATACATATGCTTAATAGAGTTCATGAAGATTGGGACATTTAACTAAAATTTGATTGTCTGATGAAGCTACCTTTAAAAGTAATGGATTTGTAAATAAATGTAATATTCATTATTATGCGACAGAAATCCCATACTGTAGCACACAGATTTGATACTTTTAATGATAAATGCCTTCTTTTGAGAGATTAAAAGGTAATTGCCTCGTCTCAGAGCCATCATAATACAAGAAGAAGACCGAAAGTCAAATCTTGTCTTATATTTTCAAAAAATACAATTTTCTCATTAAATATTGATTTTAGGTATAGGAAGTTATTAATAATACAAGATTAAACAACTATTACACAGTACTTTACGGAAGCTATCGATTGCGAACTAACTAAATCGTTACTAATTACTAATTTTAAAAAGTTCTTTTTAAGATCAAAAAAGGTAAAACTAAAACCTAAATTATCATTTGAGATTAAACGGGAAGTTCTAAATAATGTTGCCTATTCTAAACAAGAAAAATTTATTTATAAGTTTTATAACATCTCTAATTAAATTTGGACGAAAATAATATTTCTGTTTGCTGTAGGTAATTTTCTCAGGGAAAATACGTAAATAAAAATGACTTTTTAAGTAAAAAAAGTCAAAAGGACAAGTTATTCCAAAAAAGGACAGGTGGCAACCCTAGATATTTCTGGAATGGAAATTTAATGGCAAATCTACAACTTTAGTTTGAAAATATGTTCCGGCCACCTATGTTTACAAAAATGTCTAAAATATGCTTTATCATTGCCTCCATATTCTGAAAAAAAAAATGAAAGAAAAGTCACCAACCACAAACCTAATATAGAACTGTTTCGGAAGCCTGAGTCACCCTGTAAAAATTGAAAAGTAACTGAAAGTTTATATAGAATTGACTGAAAGTTTAAATTGAAAATCGACGTTGGAGCGATTTTCGAAAACTACCTACTAACGTTTCAACATAAGTATATGTGGGATATTAATTATATTATTATATTAGACCTTATAACAAAACTCATCTGACGAAAAAGTGTTAATGTGATATATTAATATGGAGTAAACATTTTACTAATTACTTTACTTTTACTTTACTAATTAAATTCGTTCCAAAAAACGATACGCCACTGGCCATTAGAACAATCCAATTGCGCCTAGTTGCCGGGGTCGGAAATTTTAGACTTCTCTGTCTCTTCTGTCCTTGTCTGACACATTGGAATGTTTGATACACTACCAACGAGTATTTATGAATGAGATGTTCGGTCTATATTTATAATGTCTTTGCTTAAAATCCATGTTTTTGAATTAGCAATCTGCTCGAAATATGCTAATCACTAGAAAATAATGAAAACCAACTACAGACGATTACTGATTGGTGATAAAAATTTACGAATACACATTACAGACTCAGATCAAATTAATCCGATTTACAAATTTGCGAAGCAAGAAACAATACTTTGAGCACATCGTAAATCGCCGACGTGTTAGTCTAATACGTCGGTACTTTACGCAGCACCCGAACTTTCCCGAGCGGCTAATGTGTCGGCGAATTCCGAATATGCGTCCCGAGCTGAACGTGCATTAGAAGTTTCCAGAGAACTACAATATCTAGATCGGAGATTTTTGGCACATCTTCGTCGTCACATCACAACGAGATCTATCGATTCTAAAATATTTTTAATATGGCGGCAATTCTGGAAATACCGGAAATTGACAGACTATTAAACACAACGACACCCATTTATAAGAAAGTTGCTGTCAACTTCCGGTATTTCCAGAAGTGCCGCCGTCTCTGTGCTGCCATATCGAAAATATTTTTAATCGATAGTTCACGTTGTTAAACAACGATGTGCAAAAAATCTCTGATCTAGATATTGTAGTTTTCTAGTAACTTCTAATGCACGCTCAGTCTGGGACACCCTGTATATATACATTAAAAACATCTTGGCAAATACTGTATAAATATATTATTTTTATATTTCTAATTTTAGGGTCTATAACGCAGCCATAGTAGTGGCGGTTCATACCATATTATCCGTTATTGCTGCACCTGTATCTAATACCAAATTTGTCGAATCTGTAAGTAAAAACGACTTTCAAAAAATTTAAAATCTAATTTATTTGAATCTTTGGCCAGTGAAGCTGAAAAATTTAACAAAAAATTATAATTTGTTCAAAGATCGTCTGTCAAATTCGACAATGACTCTCTAACATATCATCAAAATTTTAAGGTATTTCTAGAAGTGTCACAAACTTCAAATGTTTAATTTTAGCCTTGTAAAGCTTCATTCAGAACCTTTGTTCAGAACCTCGCAATTAGTGATGGTTTCAATTAGCGTAAAAGTTTGTTCCTAAATTAGTAGAAAAAGTTATCAAGATTTTAACTTTTCCAGTAATTATACTTCAAACCACGGGGGTGTCACTTGTATGGGAAAACAGGCAACAATCAAATTTAAACGTGCCAGGACCAACGACAAAGAAAGCAACATCTGCCAGGCATTGGCTTTCTTTGTCACTCACATTGCTTAAATCATGATACCGCGGCCATTTTTTCAACAAAGAAGCTGGCCGGGCTGTCCTGGCAAGTGATTTAAAACAATTTTGCTTTTTTACAATATTAAATTACGCGATTATTCAGTTAACTGGTAAGTCAGAAATTACACACAAATACTTTATTCGTAAATACAACTAAGATATAAACGTATTTTTGTATTTTTAGATTTCAACTTTTGCAACGACCCGCCGATAGAACTTGCCTGGCAGCGTACCTGTTTAACTAAACGTATTATTTCCTGATAATAATATCAAAACACGTAAGTACCTCTATAATTTATGATGAAAAATGATTTTGATTATGTTTTATATTATTTAAATACTTTCTAACCTCAAATAATAGTAAGATCCTTGTTTATATCGCACAGCCCATTCAAAACTGTATTGTCTTCAAAAAATGTTTACAAAACAAACAATTATTAAAAAAACAATGTCCTTTTAATCTGATTTATACCTCAGAAGGATGCCAGTAAAATTTTATTAAATCAACATAATATTATTTGGCCGTTAATATGCAAAAAGGAGCATATTGCCTTAACTTAAATTTTCTTTTACTTCTCCTGACAATGTTCTCTATATTCTCTATTTTAAGTTAGTAAACTTTTTGAACGGGATGTGCGATATATAAAATACATAATATACCCAAAGGGTATGATCTGATAAAAGTATTTTTGATGCATTTTTTGGTTGTTTATGCACGTTGGCTTGGTTTATGTTTTATTCAGCTTATATTTATTTAGTATAACAGTTTTTTTGCCTTTGGAATGGCATGCATTGAGGCTAGATAGTGTTTCATTAGATCATTAAAGGAATTTAAATTAGCATATATTTTTTGTCATATTAGTGTGTTATCATGATACATGTAGTTGTATCATAGTGCCTTATGCATGTTATTTACCTATTATATACTTATGTAATGTATTATCAGTAAATAGATGATAATAAACTACTAAAATGTCTTTTTAATAGTATATTTATCTTTCCAATTCACTAGTTATTTGCAAAATGTATTTTGAACTAATTTAAGTCATTAATTGGTCATCTTTCTTTTTCAGGTTCCGGGATATTCTTTTTCATTGTTAAAAAAATATATATATTTCAATATTATTGTAATATAAATCGCAGCTCTAAAAAATAAATGATATTGTTTACTAATGTGTAATTTATTTACTATGAATGTTCTCTGATAATAATAAGTCTTTAATATTATCATTGATTTGCTGTGTAAAGTTAATAGACATATTTTTTAATACATTAAATTATATTAAAGTAATAAAAATATGTTTATTAATTACAAAAAGTAAGTCAGTGATACTTATAAAAGTATTTTTTTAAAAATTTCCCCTCTTTTAAGCCCCGCCCCTCCAATTCCCCTCAATTTAGCTAGTACTGCCAGGCGACACCAGGTGGCGTCTGTTTCCATTTTTTAACATGAAGTTAGCATTTCTTTAATGTACCTATTCTCTGCTTCAAACTTTGCGAGAAATGTCATTTTGGCCTTTGATTATCTTCCGTCAGAAAAGAAAAAGAGAAATTGTGGTTAGAAATCAAAGGTTGATTGTTTTATAAGCTAAATATTAGGCTTTCTCTATGGATACAACTGACTAACGCAAGCTGTTGCTAGGATATTCTATTAATTTTAACAACTAAAAAGTATAATGTTTAATTGACCACTAATTTATTTCACTAATTGCGAGGTTCTGAATGAAGCTTAAGCATTATAGGTAGTATTTTTTTTAATTTTCGATTTAAAATAATCTCGCTTATTTTGGACTTTTGTAAAAATTGGTAGAGAGAAAATATATGTTTCTTTTATCGAGATCTACCAGCCCTGGAAATATTTACCTTTATTTAAAACTCACCCTGTAGTAACTCGACTTGTATCCGTCAGTGTAGTTGTTTTTATTTACACCCTGTATATTCATTTATTTGTTCTCACAGATACATCAACACCCAGCTAGACTGGCACTCTCAAGCGGACCACTTGGTACTGGTACGTTCTTCTTGTTTTCTACATTCATGCTAACTAACACAATATTCGAGAGCTTGAAAAACAAGAAAGAACTTGATATGAAGACGATTGTCCTAGCTATATGCTATAGATTTGTAAGGTAAAACATATGCTATATCCGTCACACTTGTTCGAAGCACCCTGTGTACACTATACGAGTAGTAATTTTAAAATGTCTATCTTAACCTTCCCTATAACTTTTATATTTAACATTTTTTTTTATCGTTGACTCACCCTGTACAACATTTCATATCTCTCGCATTCAGATATGAATAATTTTGTTGACGAAAGGCACCAAACAAACTTCTCTTGTGAACTTCTATTGTTTCGGAACTGTAAAATCTTTTATCTACAACCGTTTAGTTATAACGTTTTTACATCACTATTTTTTTAGTATTTAAGTTACGTTATGAGATTCATAACACAACTAGTGGTGTTATGAATCTATAACACAACTAGTTGCTATAATAATGAAAAACAACTACGAACATCTAAATATATTAACTTTTCCGGCAATAATGATTCCGTGGCACGTACTGCGGCAAGTTCTACATCTGAAGGGAGGAATCGCTCATCGTAATTTTTAAAATGATTTTTTCTGGGCAAAAAGTGCTCGCGTTTACTTGACAGGGCTAACTGACTTTTTAGCATAAATGTGACATATGTCATAGTTAAAGGTGGGCGACTAATAAACGAAAATTAAAACAGCATTTTCTTATTTTTCGGTTGTAGATAAAACGTTGTACATGACACGTGCCTTTAAACATGATTACAACACTCGTGTGATTAGAACGACTCGGTCTTCTAATCGTTCACACTCCTTGTTGTAATCATGTTCATAAACACACTTGTACTGTAAATAACTATTATCAAATACCGGGTGCGTCTCAAAAGCGACTCACCCCTATAACTTCTTTATTTTTTTAGTTAAAAAAAGGAGATTTGGTATGTTAGTATATGGCATTAATTAGGATTGATTGACGTATTCAATTGTTTTCGGTCACTTCCTGTTTTCCCGGTAATGACTACAACTTTTCATTTTTAAATAGCACCTGTTGTATTTTTTAACTTTATTCGATAGAAAATAACACTCTGAATAGAATGGCAGATCATATGTCAATTTTTGACATTTTCCATTATGGTTTATTTGAAATTATAACTTGCGGTTCGTAACGAAAATTGGACTCGAAATACCAAGTGTGTGGTATCAAATTATTCATAAAAAATGCCTTTTCCAAATATGCTAATGAGCCACCCTCGTTCCATTTGAAAAAACTGAGATATGGTCAAAAATACGATTTGAGCATTTTCTAACTGACCAGGACAAGATACTAAAAACATTAGATGATCAAATCTATTTTTCCAAGGCTCCTTGATTAAGAATTAATGTATTTAACATAGCCATGTAGAGTGCCATGGCTATGTTATGGATCGAATTTTAAAATACGATTTTTTATAAAGCGAGAATGTCAAAAATTGACATATGATATCATTCTATTCAGAATGTCATTTTCTATCAAATAAAGTAAAAAAATAGCGAGGGTGCCATTTAAAAATCAAAAGTTGTAGTCATTTCCGGTGAAACAGGAAGTAACCAAAAACAATTGAATACGTTAATATATCCTAATTTATGTCATATACATACTATATATATTAATCGGTTTAAAACGTTCTACGTCTTCCGATGCCATCTCTCCATGCCTGTCTGTCTCTCCATGCACCGTCTCCGAGAGATCTTTATAAGAAAAAAAGATAATAATATAAAATAACGTGTATATAATATACGTGTCAATCCATATATATAAACGTGTCAATCCCTAAAAAACGTGTCAATCCCTTCCTGCCAACTTCTTCGCGGTCTACCCGGTTTTCTTCTTCATGCAGGTTTCCAGTTTATAATTTGCTTTGGGATTCTTATTTCTGCCATTCTTTGGACATGCCCGTACCATATGAGTTGACTGTTCTTTATGTCGTCCACTATCGTATGTTTAACTTGCATAATCTCTCTTATGCGTTCATTAGTTATTCGCTCGAGTCTTGATTTACCTGCTGATCTTCTCCAAAAATCCATCTCTGTAGCTTCCAGCATTCGTTTTGTTATTTCCTTAATTGGCCAGACTTCACAGCTGTACGTGGTTATACTCTTTATGATGGTATTGTATATTAGAGTTTTGTTCTTGTTGTTTATGCTTCTGTCCCACAGTATCCCATTCAATTCCGTGATAGCATTCCTTCCAAGTTGGTTTCGTTCTTTATTTGCTGTATCCAACAGTCCATCATTTGTGATTTGCATACCCAAATATTTGTATTTTGTGCAGCACTTAATTTTTTTCCCTTCTTCTAGCATTAGATCTTGTTGTTCTCCTCCGATACACATATATTCTGTTTTGTTAGTATTGATCTCCAGTCCCCATTTCTGATATTCTTCTATAAGCTTACGTGTCATATAATTTATGTCATCGTAATCTTGTGTTATGATCACCTGATCGTCCGCGAAGCAAAGTGTGTAGAGCATGTTATCCCCTATGGGTACTCCTATATTTCTACATTTTTGCTTCCAACCTTTGAGAACTTGTTCGAGATATATCTTGAACAGTGTTGGTGAAATACAGCACCCTTGTTTCAGACCTTTGGTTCCATTAAATCCTGTTGTTAACTTTTTGCCGACTTTTATTCTAGTTTTTGTTTGTTTATATAATGATTTTACTGCTTTTATTAGCTCTACATTTATATTGGTTTTTTCCATAGCTTCCCAAAGTCTCACAAGGGGAACGCTGTCGTATGTCTTCTGCAGGTCCACGAACACAAGATGTAGCTCTTGGTTTATATTGCTCTTTTTACTTATTACTTGAGTGACTGTAAATAAGTGGTCCACCGTCGATCTTCCGACTCTAAATTCTGCTTGTTCATATACATACTACATACCAAATCTCGTTTCTTTATCTGAAAAAATAAAAAAGTTATAAGGGTGAGCCATTTTTGAGACGTACCAGGTATAGTACCTTAGTATCGTCGATAGAAGAAAAGCGCAGCAGATAAAAAATACTGTACCGTAATTCTGCTTTCAGGCGATAGAGTGAGTGGTTACCAGAGACAGTGTTGCCACAACTACTGATTAATCCGTAGATTTACGGATTTTGGGTACAGTACGTTAAAAATACGGATTTTCTATCATTCGACAATTTAATATACTATTATATGATTAAATAAAAGATCGCTGTTATTTATTATGTAAAATATTATAGTAAATGTCAATAATCGCCATTTCCAAGCTACAACTACAACCAAACCGCACAGCACTTGAGACGTAAGGGTATTCAAATCATCCTTGTCAATTCCCAATTCTTTCAATCAACGTTTGTATTAATTTTTATAAAAGGTCTTCTATAAAAAATGAAATATTTTTTAAAATATTTTATTCTGTCGAATTTTTCAACAAATATTTTTTATAAAAGATCTTTGAATCTTCTCTAGATCAATTATGGATACCTTATTATTAAGTTTTGATAAAATATCAAACGATTTGAATAGAAACCACATTTTTACTATGTATGTAATCTAATTTATTGAAAATTTCACAAAGAATGAAAAAGAAAAAAAAACAATTTTTCTTTTTTTTAGGTTAACTCCTACAGTATTAGTAATGGTATTGTTTCACGCTACTTGGTTACGTCATTTAGGTTCGGGTCCGAAATGGACCGAGGTGGTTATCTATGAGTTCCAAAAATGTCGTGCCAACGGTTGGACAAATATATTGTATATCAACAATTGGTACGACTCGTTTGTTATGGTACGTAAAAATAATAATCTAGCATTCAAAAGAAAAACAACGGAGAACCAAAAAGAACTGTATATTTATGATTTTTCCCTTGATTATAGTTTACCCATTTTCATTCCTTAAGTTCTCCTATTACTGAGCCACCCTGTACAGAAGTTACAGTGGGTGTTATATTCGAATAAATCGGGGAATCCATTATTTAATTTGAACAAAGCGTAGTAGGTAAATTATTTATTTAAATTAGTGGAGTGGCCCAGAGACTTTTACCTCGGAATTCAATTACTGTGAATGTATTAATGCGTGAAACCTTCTGTATTGTGTTTTATAGATAAAATACTAAAATGTTTACCCATTTTTTTTCGTTGCTTTTAATTTTTTATTTTAGTAATTTTAGTAAATTCTTAATTATTTCCTTCTTAATTTTTTGATTTTTTTAATTCCTTTTCTAAGTAAATTTATTGAAATAAATGAATCTAATGCATAAGCTATACTTATTCTGCTTATATTCTAATCATTGAAATTTTGACTGAAATCGAATTATACAAGGTGGCGCGTCATATACGATGCGGTTTTTGCAAGGAGAACAAAAGTTTATATTGAAGTGAAATTTTGCGAGCTTATGTAAGTCAATTTAAAGCATTTGCTAAAATTATGTAGATTTCTACCGGGTGTCCCCAAAAAAATTTACACGTCAAAGTTATGTTTTTTGTAATGGAACACCCTATATATTAATTAATTTTTGGATTCTAGTAAAAAAATAAAGGTTTGTTTCACTAGAAAAATATATGACTAAAATGTATAGTTTTTGAAATGCATTCAATGGCACGAAAAATAAGCACCTTAAAACTTTGATGTATTTTAAAGGTTTATATATTTTGTTTTAATTGGCCGACTTTTATGATTTTTTAAACAGTGTGTAGTCAAATTATTTGACTTTTTAGTATCTTCTGCTAAATTAAAAATGAAACACCCCACCCATTGGTATTTTGGTGAAAATTTGAAACACCCTGTAGAATATGTTAAAACAGCAAGAAATTTAAAAATTATTTTATCTAGTAGTGGGAACTATCGAATGAATACTATCGAAACATTCGATAGTTGCAATTCATTCGAATAATTCGATAGTTAGTAAGAAAACATTCGTTGAAAACTATTCGAATAAAAATTATCGAATAGATCCGTCATCTGCCTTGAAATATTGTATTCTAGTAATTCGGCAGCAAAAACCATTCATTTATGAAATTCATTCATTCGTCAGGATCGATTATAATAAAATATTAACTGAATTTTAGTTGTCGCCCGGCGACGTAGGTTTCTTTCCGAGAAACCCGACAGCGGTCGGTGGCAATGCTATGAAAGAAGCCGGCATCTTTGATTTTTTGCGGAGTCAGATATAGATAAGGACACATTATTTTTTTTAGTGAGGTTCTAGTATTTACACAGAAAATACATTATGAAACGCGCTGTTGCCATATTTTGGTATTAGTTGATATTAGCAAAGAATATTGTTGTTTGGCTTTAGTTAATTAGGGATAGTATGTCTATATATTCTGCATTTTTTTTATTAATATTCTGTTGTTACACTGCAATAATACTTGTTATTTTGGATGTAGGAAAATTATTTTTAATGATTTTTAGCAAAGACTGGTTTAATAAATAATAATAACAGTAATAATTTGTTATACCTATAACAACACAATTTAAAATCATTTAATATAAATATTTTCTTTTAAGTAGTAGCAAAATATAAACAACAAATTAGATGTCAAAATTATTTATATTAGATCCTATTTAAAAATAATATAGTCTCTAAATTTTTTGGCAACGTTGGTTTATTAAATAATAATAATTACAGAACTAATTTGTTATATTAACAACAAATTTTAAACTTACGAAATATAAACATTTATTAATTTTCTAAGCATGCAGTGTAATGGAAGAAAAATATAAATAAAAAATTAGAAATCAACATTATTTATATTAGGTGCTTTATATTACTATTTAAAAATTATATTTACTTTTACTAGCATTTACTTTAAAAAATAAATGAAATATTTTTTCTTCGCAAAAAACTACATGTAAGAGAATTAGCATAAACAAAATAGAAACATCGTTAACTTTTTTTTTAAATTGGCACGTGTAAAACTTTCGTTTTAATTTTCTCACCCCATAGTTTGAGTTCGATAACCATCTACTTAAATATGATTATACAACCACATTACTTAAATATGATTATTAAGTTCAACTAATTCATATTATTAAAACATCTAAAATACAAATATTTATTTTTTAAATTAATTGTAAGTTCATCTCATCTCTCTTAAAAATTGCTACTTCTCAAAATTTCCCATTAAAAAATAGACCATATACCATATAAAATTAAATAATTGAAAGATCGGACTACGGAAAACCACACAAATTTTCGGAAAAATTTTGACGACCTGCACATGCACACAATCGTCAATAAATAAAATTAAAAAATAACTACTATTTTAGTATTTTAACTATTTTAATAAACGCAAAAATAGCACAGTATTTATACGGCGAAGTTATAAAAATTTGGAAGAACTAATAATGCACTGACGCATACAAAAATCAAACGAATCTAAATTTCATTTATCAAAAGCATTCGATAGTCGTGGCTCAACGATAACCATTTAGTCGCACGGCGAGGTTGTCACATATGCTTTAGTATACAAATGAATGAATGATTTTATTCGAATAAAACCATTCGATAGTTGAAATCATTCATTCATTAATCATTCGATAGTCTAATTCATTCGATAGTTCCCATCGCTAATTTTATCATCTAGATACATCCTTTCTCGATGGTTTGTTTTTTGCTTTATCTCATTAGCTTGATTTTTGTTGGAAATATTCGCTTTATAAGAAGACACTAACATTTTTTCGTAATTTTTACATTAAGACCATGTCTGCTTTTGGGCCTAGTCAACACATCTAGTAAGTTCTGGTCCAGCAGGCCTTCTTGACATAAGATTTGCTTCATTTAATCTTCTTCTTATAGTCCGTTAGTTAATATGTACGTGCCTTAAGTGCAATTCATTATCAATTTGAAAAACTGGCAAACGGCGATTTCTTAGCGATAAACTTACAATAAGTCGATCGTCTCGATTATAAGTTCTCATACGAAGGTTCACAGACGTCTAGATTGACGTCCTTATGGACGTGGTCATAATTCAAAAACCACTTAGCATACTCTATGGTATTAAGATACTAGTGGAACCGGAATTGTATAGCAAATTCACTGAACTAAACAAATATATATATAAGCATACATATATATTTGACTCACCCTGTATATCTATAAAAATCTTTTTGAAATGTTAACTACCATTAAACACATATTTTGTAAAAGGTTTGGAGTGAAAATTTCCAATAGGAATCCTGCTACAGAACTTTTGCGGAATACGGAGCCATCTTGTATGTATGCATTTGTATATGTGTGTTTATTTAAAAAATACAAGCAACGAATTTAAATGGGTAAACTTTGTAATATATCTTATTAACAATACAATGCAAAAAGTTTTATAAAAATTCGTTTACAGTAAATGAATTCCGAGGTTTGTATCCCATAAGGGCTTAAAGCACTCCACTAAATACTATTTTATATTCTAGTGTCTACCGGTTACGTGGTATCTGGCTTTGGACACCCAGTACTTCATATTGGCCTTATTTTTATTCAAGTTCCTTAAAGCAAATGAAAAACATTCCTTCCTTATTATAGGAACACTCTTGGCAGTGACAACTATCGGCACTTTCTTCCAAAATTATTATTACGACTTTACCGGATTGATACTACCAGTACCTGAGTAAGTACTATATTTAACATTTTTGAACATTTTTATCATTTGAATAAATATTCAATTATTTTTAAAATTTTAGATTTTTTTACGAATTTAGGGGTTTACTGGAAAGCCATCAATTCTTCTACCAAGTCGGTAGTTTTATTGGGAATATGTCTTCAGCAACAATGGGCATAGCTTTCGGATATTATTTCTATAAGCATAAGTATGATGAGCCACATCAATATATATTTCGAACCAAGGTAAGCTAATTAAATGATTTGTTATTAGTCTAAGTATAAGTTCTACTTGAGTCTGAAACTAAAAGAATTTCGGACATTGTCCTTATTTATTTTGATTAAACGTTCGGTTATCAAATATCAACCTATAAAACTGACTCATTGATTCATCGACCTAAGGGAAGATGCTCTCTCTCTCTCTCTCTCTTGACTATTTCATATGTAAAAGAAACTTCAGAAAAGATCAGGCGAATAGCCAACAAGTATAACATTAGAACTATCTTCAAATCTGAATCGATCCAGACAAAAACGTCCTAACAAGGACGTTTCTTTCTAGACATCTAGCTAAAGAGAAACAGTGCATCTACCAGGTACCTTATGAATGCGGTGGTTTGTATATTGTAGAGACTAAATGTCCTCTTAGCGAGCACAAAGTCAGAAGTTCGGATTGTCCACAGGAAACCTCAATGGAAAAAGCGTAAATTTAAAAAAGTTTTTATAGCAAACTACAACCTAACCTAACACACTATATATTAATTGATTTTCGGATTCTGGGAGAAAAATAAAGTTGAGTTTTATAAGAGAAGAATATGACTAAAATGTAAGGTTTTTGACATATTATTTAACATTTTCTAGAAATAAAGAACAATTTTTAAATTACAATAAAAGCTACCTAAATTGGAATTTACCCGGTATAGCCTAATATATAGTTAAATTAACTATTGTACTTTAAACCAAATTAAAACTTGATCCAAAAAGTTATACAGGGTGAGACAAAATTAATACTAAACTTTGGTCACCTTTAAAAGCATGTTATTCTTTTATTTTAAATAGAACAGCCAGTATATTATACCGATATTCAATGGAGAATTTATGTCTCTTCAAAATACTATTAAGGTTGCCTACCCCCCAAACAAAGATTTCCTTAGATATTTTCATTTACATGAGTTGATCTGAGTTTTTTATATGATATTATATATAAAGATCTTTATTATTTGATAAAATCTAGGTGGCTGTGATATGTCGGACGTTACTTCAACATAGCTGTCTAATTAGTCCAACTTTAACAACTAGTTATAATTTTGTGTCAGTTAAAACAAAAAAGATTCTTGGAAATTTGCCGAAAATGCAAACTTATCCTACATCTGAAAGAATTTTTATGATTCTTTAGTTAGTAAATGCAGTTTGCATTCATCAATTAATAGAATACTTAAATGCTCCTGATTTTATCTAGTCTGGCTTTTTCTATGGGGATATGTTAAAGACAGTGTTTACAAAACTCGACCAACTAGTGTCGACAACATGAGAGAAATTATTGTAGCTGCTTTTCGAGGTAGAACTCTACATACATGCCTTTTAAAATGAAAAGATCCTTTTGAAAAGACAATCATTTTATGCAGTTAACAGGAAAGGAAGCATTTTGAGCATTTGATTTCATCTAGCTAATTTTTGTCACATAATTATAGGTTTATATCTAGTTTTAATTCTGTAAAAATTCAAATATGTTGTATTTTTTTATTACCGTTATGTATTTTACTCTACAATCTTTAATTTTTGTTAAATTAACAAAAGGTACATCATACAGTCATCTAGATTTTTTCAAATAATACAGATCTACTGACGCAAAAACATAACAATTAAAATATCTAAGAAAATCTTTATCTGAGGGGTCGGCAACCTTAATAATTAATATTTTGGAGATATATAAATTCTCCATTGAACACCGGAAAAATATAGTGGGTGTTTCATTTAAAATAAAGGAGTAACTTGCTTTTAAAAGTAACTAATGTTCCATATTAATTATGTCTCACCCTGTATAACTTTTCGGGTCAAATTTCAATTTGGTTTAACATACGATGGTGACTGTAATTATATATCAGGCTATACAAGGTCAACTAAAATTTAGGTAGCTGTTATCGAAATTTAAAATTTACTCTACATTTTCTCAAAATGTGAAATATGTCATGATCCTTAGATTTTAGGTATATGCTTCTTTAATAAAACTTACCTTTATTTTTTTTCTAGAATCCGAAAATCAATTAATATATAGGGTGTTCCATTAGAAAAAACACAACTTTGATGTGTAACTTTTTTTGGGGACATCCTGTATAATTCTGTATATTTTTGTAAAATGCTTTCATTTAACCTACATATGCTGCCAAAATTTCATTTTGATATAAACTACCGTTCTGCTTGGAGCTTCCGCGGCGTATGAGGGCGCCACCCTGTACTGACATTTAATTTTGAAACCTATTAGAGATATACAGGTTGTTAACTTGACAGTTACTTATAGGGGAACAGAATGGCAACACTGCATAACACATGCACTTATAGGGTTTTCTGCCGACTCGTCCCGTCGCCGTCGCGTCTTCTATCGACGAACGGGCCGAGGTTGCCATATTTCAACGATAAAGCTCTTACCGCGAGTAATAAACAAATTAACAACCTGTATAGAGTGATCCACAGCGATGGTAAATTAAACGTGTATGAAGAAGAGGCGTAATTGTTTTTAAAATTTTCATTTTTATATAAAGACATATGCTCCATCTATCTAAATCAGATGTTTTCAAACTTTTTTTGATTGGTAGACACATTTTTTTTAATATTTTAGTTTAGACAAGGTCTTTGGTGGCTGATGACCTTTGGTCTAGCTTTATCCTTCCTGATTGTTCCTGGATCTGTAATATTGAATGCCGATGTCGAACATAGTGCTTTTTGGGCATCAGTGTATGTAGCTGTTTCGCGTCCTCTATTTCTCTTCGCCATTGGAGTTGCAGTAATAGGATTCACCGAAGGAATTGGCTGTAAGTGCAAAATGGTTCAATTACCATTTTTAGCTTTACTTAATAAACTCTAAAAAATATGTTTTATAAAAATTATCTTAAAATATACAGGGTCCGGCAATAGTATCCTATCAAAGGATCCTGTTTCAGTTAATATGGAACTTTGTAAATTAAAAAAATCTGAAACATCCAGATATCTTTACAAAACTAGTCTAATACAAATTTTAGACGAAAAATATCGTGACTGTATTTGTTTTTACACAGATGGCTCGAAATCTGACCAAGGTGTTGGCTGTGCTTTTTACAGCCCGGTTGCTAATAAAAAAATCAGATTACCTAATTTCTCTGGCATTTTAACAGCCGAACTCATAGCTATTTATCAGGCTCTTATCCAAATTCGGAGCATGCCACCGATTGAAGCATTAATACTATCTGATTCACTCAGTTCCCTCAACAGTATTGCTTCTTTAAGCCCCAAAAAAATTTCTAACCTGAAGCATTCGAGATCTAGTATATAAACTTACTGAAAGAAACTACAATGTTAACTTTAAGTGGATTCCTGGACACTCTGACATTGCTGGTAACGACCGAGCAGACAAACTGGCTAACGAGGCAACGCTCTTACAGAATATTGAAGGAACTCCATCCGTTGTCGATTTCAGAAATTTCCACAAAAAAGTGTTCTTCAGTATACTTCAAAATAAATGGGACATACTCGAGGGAACTAATAAACTTAGATCACATATGCTACTTCTTCATCTGTATCAAAATATATCGTCCTATTGCTGCCAAAAGTCACTAACTAACATTTTTCCGAACAACCAAATTTAATCACTAACTATGTTTTGAATTGGAGAATCGATTGCAAAAGTCATTAACTACGATTTCTGGCTATTTAGTTTTATTTTAATACCGAATAGTTACTAACTATAACATCTTTATGCAACGCAATTGATCTTTAGACGCATTTTTCTCGGAAGTAATAAAAAGTAAGTTAGTGACTTTTGGCAGCAATGGGACGATATATTCCCTTGAACGCAGGGCCGGATCTACCTAAGGGCTGTTTGGGCTGCAGCCCAGGGCTCCGAGGTTACAAGGGGCCCCCAGACCCCGCTAAAAACAATAGACCCATAGGTGGGAACTGTTGAATCGTGAAATAAAATTAAAATTCACGTTAAAAAGTTTAAGCCAGACCAGATGGTTTTGCCACTATGATACTGTCAAAGCCTTAAAAATAATTATGATAACATTATAAAAATTTTCGAAAGTTTCAGCGAGAATGAGATTGAGAAAGTTGTTTTCCGGAAAGAGGTACGAAATTTATTCAATAAAATGGCGAAACTCGAGACTGCAATTTTGATTATCTTTTGGGAAGAACTTTTGCAGAGATTTCATTTAGTTAATAAAAAAATACGCCTGGTTTAGACATTTGTGAAGGCAACAAGTTAATTGTGTCATTAAAAGACTTTGTGAACAACATACGATACCGATCAGATCAAAAGCTAAAGGAATACGAAGAGAAAGCTAAAAATTAAGTACTAGTGTGAGGATAGACTACAATGACGTAAACAAGAGACGCATTATTCCAAAATTTTCAGGTAAGTCTACAGGTGAATTCTCAGTATACGGCGCAGAAATAAGAAAGATTTAAAAGAGACACGTTAAACGTTACGTTGGATAAGCTGATTATGGATTTAAATAAAAGGAGCCAAGTCAATGAGACATAAATATAGCAAAAAATTCAAATTTTTAATGGATTTGCAAGACAAAAATATCGAAAACATAGATTTGGAAATTGCACGTCATATTATTGATTACAATCCCGATGACGTAGACGAGCATTTAGTGAACGAGTGCATTCAATTAAAATCGTACTGACTCCAATCTAAGCCAGAGTCTTACACCTCTTGCAGTGATATTTTTATGCTCATGCACGAAAATAAACTTATTGACGTGTTCCCTAACTGCTATACCATTTTAAAGATTTTTTTTTATCATTGCCACTCACTAGCTGAAGCAGAACGCTCCTTCTCCAAGATGTTCTATGTAGAAAATAAATATAGGACAACAATGTCGAACCATCGACTAAATAATTTATCACTTCTTTCCATAAACTGTGATCTAACAAAAGACTTGCATTGTGATGACCAAATAACTGTCAATTTCTATGACTGCAACCTATCAATTTCTTTTACTAATTCATAATAAATAAATAAAATTGTTTTATTGTTTTTTTTATATTCTTATATAATATCACTATTTCGATTTCTCTCTCACCCAAAGGTTGCCTGGAAGAGATTGCTACCACAGCAATAAGTCGCCTTTTGTACAACTAATACTTGCGTAGATTTAAGTAACATTTATGTTTTTTTTGTGCAATAAAGTATATATAATAATAATATATCATTATAGAAACAGTTTTTTGGCAGACATGGCTATTAGTTGAGTACTTAGGTAGGCCTCTAAGTAGTTTCAGCCCAGGGCCCCACAAATTCACGATCCGCCCCTGCTTGAACGCGGATCTTTCTGTAAAGTTGTTAGAACCCTCACAGGACACTCATATCTTATATATATATATATATATATATATATATATATATATATATATATATATATATATATATATATATATATATATATATATATATATATATATATATATATATATAAACGGGATTTGGTTTAAGTATTTAATACTCATTTCCAACTACAGCCTATTGCTGCCTTCCCGTTACCCTACGCCACACATCTCGATTTAGAGCGTCATCAGCTTCTAGGTTACGAGCTCCCATTGCTTCCGTAACCGTTCCGTTCCAGGATTTACAGGTCTACCTCTCTTTCTTCTGCCCTGGGGAGCCCATTGAAAAACTCTTTTTGGCCACCTGTTCTCCGGCATACGCAGAACATGTCCAAACCATTTTAAGCTGGATTTTTCGATTCGATCCAGTACTGTCTCCTCCGATGCATTCATGATACGCCTGACCTCGATGTTTGTCTTTTTTTCCATCCTAGATATACCTGCACTTCTTCTAAGGTAGTCCATTTCAACAACTTGGATTTTGCGCTTCGCGTCTTCACTCAGAGTCCACAGCTCTGAACCATAGCAAAGAACTGACTCCACCAATGTTCTTCCAAGTCTCTTTTTAGTTGTTGCAGATAAGTTTCGGTCCCACCAGAGGCTGTTAAGACATCCAATAACTTGTTTGCTCTTCTGAATTCGGTTTGTATTTCTTCTTTGCCCAAACCCTCGTTGTTGATAGTAGCACCCAGGTATTTAAATTTGTCTACTTGTTGAATCTGGACGTTATCATTAATGAAGACTTCAAAACAAGTGTTGGAATTGACAGCTAAGTATTCGGTCTTCTTTAGACTAACCTGAAGTCCCCATTTGTTGTATACTTGATAAAGCCTCTTAGTCATGAACTCTAGATCGTATGAGTCCTGCGCAATCACGACCTGATCGTCTGCAAAGCTCAGGGTAAATAGTGTGTTGTCCCCAATGGGTATTCCCATACCTTGATATTTCGTCTTCCATTCCCTAAGGGCTAATTCGACGTAAGCGTTGAAGATCAGAGGAGATAAGCTGCATCCTTGTCGCAACCCTTTTGTGGTGTTAATTGGATTAGATAGCCTGTGTCCTATCTTAACGTACGATTCATTTTCTTTATATAGCTATTTTATTATCTTAAGCAAAGGTCTATCTACTTCTAAGATATTCAATACTTCCCATATCTTGCTGCGGGGAATAGAGTCGTACGCTTTCTCCAAATCAATAAATGCTAGATGGACTTCTTGATCTACTGCTATCTTTTTTTCCATCACCTGCTGCAGGACAAAAAGGTTATCTGTGAAAGATTTCCCCGGTGTGAATCCGCTTTGGTCTTCCGAGATTTGTCACCAATACTGTCCCTGAGCCTACCCTGTAGCACCTTTCCAAAAAGTCTGCTGACCGAACTGTTAATGCTCTATAACAAGTGGGGTCGTTACGATTTCCCTTTTTAAAGATGGACACTATGTGAGCCACTCGCCATTCTCGGGGTAGTTTACTTTGCAGGCATCACTGGTTAAATAGCTCTGCCAGACGCCAGCGCAGTCTTTGGGTTCCACACTTTAACAATTCGGCTACAATATTACCAGGATCTGGTGACCGTCCATTTTTCATTCTTTTGAGACTTTGATGTACTTACACTCGCTCGTGGTCGAAGGCTGGTAACGGATCTCAAGGAGATACTCCAATGTCGAGTAGGAGTATTTCATCAAAAACTGAGAAATGTCCACTGTTTCATAAGCTCTGCCAGCAAGTCCTATTTTCTACGTCCTCGAAGGATCATGAGAGCCGCGTGACCACTGGTAATGTATGGCATCCAATGGATGGGTGTTATGCAGCTAACAGGAATAGGGCGAGGGCGAGATTCCGGCGCCTCAAAACCGGTTCTCTCGGCTAAGGATGGGCATCCCTACAGAAAGGCCCCTGGTCCTCCAGGTTGGGGATTGAGGCAACGGGCTAGCGACCTGTTACTCGGAAAAAAACTTAATTGCTCAAAGAACCCTAAACACGCCTCTCACACTCATATCTTACCAAATCATAAATCATATATTATCAAAAATGAACCCCCTCCGAAATGCACCTTATGCAATAACTTAATGTCAATGAGACATATTCTTTATGAATGTTTACCTGTTGCCTCGCATAGGTCTAGATTCTTTAATGCTGTTACCTATGAGAATATTTTCGCGCCTTTTAACATTTCGAAGATTAATAAAGTTATGGAATTCTTAGACAGCATCGACATAACAAAAAAACTTTAATTTCTAACTTAAAATAATTTAAAATAACATCATATTAAATAAAGCTTATTATTGAGCGCTAAAAAACCGCCGCTGTTGACGCGCTCTATAAATCAATACATCTCTCTTTCTCTCTCTCTCTAGAATGTACTTCAGGAAAATATTTTAACTTCTATAGGGTGGCTCAAAAAAGTGTGAGTGGATCGGGATGATTTTTCAGCCTTTATTAAAAAAATTATTGCAAATACAAGAACTGCCCCGAAATCAAAACTATATGATGTATTTACTTTAGATGGTCTATATTTACTTTGGTATAAATATCATAATCCTAAATCATACAGGATGTTTAAAATTCCAGGCCAAACTTTCTAAAAGATAAAATATTTTTTCTTTGTTTTTTTTTTTAATGGAACACCCTGTATTTTATTAGAGCGAGAATTAAAAAATGAACATTTTTTGTGTATTTAGAGTATTTCAACATTTTTAACAGTACTCGGGGTATCATTTCATCTAGCTCTTTCAACGCTAAAATACGAGAGACTACGATAATCATAGGGTAGCTTTGATAAGAATTTATTGTGGAGAATTTGCCACAAATACATACAAAAAAACCGCGAATTTGGAGAATTAAAAAATGTTAATGTTTAATTCTCCATCTATTAAAAAAAATAATATACAGGGCGAGAACTCTATTTTTTCTTTTATTTTGTTATTTACAGGGTTAGCCCTAAGAGTAGTACAGTGGACTCCCACCTATATCTTAGGTCGATTGACGTTCAGTGTGTATTTAGTACACATATGGGTGCCGTTTGTCAGATATGGTATGACAAGGTATCCAGTATACTCCAGTACCATTATTGCGGTAAGTACCTTTTTTACACAACCCATCTAATATCCAATTAAGGCAAATTCATTTTCTTTTCAATTTCCAACGACAGGTTTCTGCCTAATAGGTTTTTCATATACCACACTATCAGCTCTGCGAAGTAGGAAAAGTAGTTTTTCAAAGGAACGCTTGTCAAGAAAGTTCCTATTTGGATATCTTTGAGCATAAACCCTTCAGGCCAACAAGCAATTGTTCTTACAAAATAAAATCACTTGTAACATATCCATTCCTTCCTCCAGGAGATACTACTTCACTTTTCTTGATAAAATAATAAATACCTACTTATTAACCTTACTGTAGGTAAATTAAATAAAAATAACCTGTTATAAATTTAAATAAAGTCCATAAACTAATGTCGATTTTGAAAATAGCTACTAAGTGTCACTAGAAAATTGCCATGGCGACACCAGCCATCTTGATTACAATTTTATTGAAAAATCGATTTTTATTCAAAATCTGAGCCAGATAGGTATAGAAAACCCTTATACAGTTTGAAAGAGCATTTAAATCTGCTTGGATTTAAAAAAAATGCATAGTGTTGTATTTGAAATAACAAAGTTTTTATGTAAAATAAATATTTAAAATAGACCAGCAATTTTTGATACCCTGTATACATTTAAGGAAGTATATTTTCTTAGTAAAGTTTATTTCTCTGGCTTAAAAATCAACACAAGAATTAATTACGAAAAGTAATGTACAAGGTGTTGACAAACTTTTTTATTATAGCATGCATATTTAAATATCTTTAAATATCTTTAAATATCTCAAAAACTAGAGCTTTTAAACATATTAAACCCTTATAATAAATGCTTTATTTTATGTCCAAGAATGCAAAAATTAAATAAAATACCGGGTGTTCCATAAGAAAAAATATAACTTTGGTATGGATCTTAGTTCTGGCACACCTTGTATATTTCAAAATAATTTTAAATTTTGTACATTGCCTTCCCACATATACCCAAGAAATAGTTTGTTTCTACATCTTTCCGTTTTCTCTTTTTTATAAAAAGACTTAAGTCTTTTTAATGATATAATTAATATACAGGGTGGCGCACCTCATTCGCCTCGATTGATTATACGAAAACGGAAAGATGTAGAAACAAAATATTTTTTGGGTATATGTGGGAAGGCAATGTACATAATTTAAATTATTTTGAAATATACAGGGTGTGCCAGAACTAATATCCATACCAAAGTTATCGAAGAATCGAGGCGAATGAGGTGCGCCACCCTGTATTTTAATTATATCATTAAAAAGATTTAAGTTTTTTTATAAAAACACTTAAATCTGTTTATAAAAAGACTTAATCTTTTTAATGATATAATTAATATACAGGGTAGCGTATCTCATTCGCCTCGATTGGTTACACGAAAACGGAAAGATGTAGAAACAAAATATTTTTTGGGTATATGTGGGAAGGGAATGTGCATAATTTAAATTATACTGAAATATACAGGGTGTGCCAGAACTAAGATCCATGCGTTCATCGAAGAATCTTTTTCTATTTCGGAATAAAGATTTAAATAATAAATAATTTTAAAAAATATTTTAAGTCTTATGTCAGCTTTCGAAAAATGACTCAAGACCAAATGACTTAAGTCATTAAAAGAGAAATTAAAATTAAAATTTTTTAGACAACTTTTTTTATTTTTGTTTTTTTATGATTTGGTTCAAAAAAAATACATACAACCCTAAATTTTCACCCTTCTACCATCAACCCCTATTTTTTAAAAGGAGTTGTTTTTTTTAATAGTTTTAGTTACCATACTCATCCGAAACGGCTTTTTTATCCACAGAATATGCTGGCCGAAATTTCCCCAATACAATTCGGACCACCCTGTATACTAAAAACTAATATTTATATTCTTTTTTTAGTTGGTCGCAGCTATTGGTGATTTAGCAGTAGTATACATATTAGCTACCATTTTGGCACTCTTTGTGGAATTTCCGGTATCGCAACTGCAGAAACAACTTTTCACGTTCGAAAAAGTGAAGAAGACAACCGATAAAAACGAATAAAATTTTATAATTTGTTATTTTCAGAATAAAAATATTTAATTTATATAAAAGGTCTTTTATTTCTTTTGTCAAAAATTGTTACAGCAGCCTATTTTTTTTCCAACTATGATTTGATAATTTTTTTCCACAGCAACTGTTAAAATTGCCTTATATCTATCAAAAATCGTAGATAAATAGCACTTTAACCGCAAGGGTAGATTAAATGATACTTTAACAGCGAACATAGGTTAAAAACTTTATTTCTTCTCGCACGTTTTTTAATTGCGTCCATTTTTGAAAATTTTTGTATTCCTTTTCATAAGTTATTCGGGATTTAAATGGAAGTAGTTTGGATATGGCGTTTGTCGTCCCAGCCTGAATATCTGTTGGCAATTTATTTATTTCGTTTTGAGCCATCTATGGCTCTAATTCAATCAGCAATCGACACGAAAGAGAATTAAAAAATATTGGCTGAAAACTGACAACTAAAGAGATAGCTGTATTTATTTGTCATATTACATAGAAACCAACGCCAACCCAGCACAATATTTTTCTACTCGTAATAAATTCATTGAAATAATAATTTCTGAATATTTTTTAAAACGTAACTCGCTATGGAAAGAAATATTGTTTTATACACGACGATAAAATTGCATTTTTGTCTCCTGAAATTAATTCACTCGCGATTTCATCGCTCGTGAATTAATCATTTCGGTTAACGATAAGATACCATTTTATCGTCTTGTATAAAAAATAGCTGTTATATCCAAAACCTGCGTTTTTGGACTAAATTTGTGTTATATTAAATCGTCGGTTTACACAAAAGCAAAATGCAAAATATATTAAATCCAATTATTTTAATTTTGATTTATTTATATCATTTGAATATATTTCTTCAGGATATAGATCTATATCCAGGAAATGGCGAATGATATTTTCTCTGTACTTATCCAGAGAAACACCCTGTAAGCAAATGATAAAAAAACACAACAAAATTATTTTCTATTTCAAAAACCGAATCGCTATGTAATAAAAACTTGCCCAGGATTTTCCTATATCCATTTATTTTTTGCTGGGTACATACATTCGATCTAAAAATATATTTCAACGCGGCAGGAACAGGAATTAATAAAATTAATGAACCCATTTGCATTTTTTAATTAAACCGTTTTGAAAATCATTAAAATTCACTAATAAACAAAAAATTCTGTTAACTTTTTAATTTCAGGTATAAATTTGCCGTAAATCAATTTCGGCTAACGACAGTTATTGGAATATTTATATGCTTCATTTTTTCTTTTACTAAAAAGCTTCATTCAGAACCTCCCAATTAGTGGAATAAACTAGTGGTTTCAATTACAATTTATACTTTTTAGTTTACGATCATTCACAATGTCTAAAAATCACAATTAAAATCTTTGAATAAGAAGACTAAGGAAGGAGCATATCAAAAATCTTAGGTACACCGCGATGGGCCACAAATATGGCCGACTTAAATTCCGGTTTATCAGTGTCGTTCTAATTTTATTTAAAAAATGTAAAAATATGATGTAGGGTAGACGTGGGGTAGACTCAATAATTTGTTGTTTTATTTTACGTTGTGAATAAATGTTGGTAGTTATTAAAATTGTTATAAAAATATAAAATTCTAATAAAAATAGATAAGTTATAATAATTATTTATTAACACAAACATCCGATACGCTACTGAAGCAGGTAAGTCAAATTAACGTATCTAAATTCTTTGACATCTAATCTTTGACAAGTAATAAATAAAAGCTAAAATGCAATAAAAATATATAATTTAGTTAATTTAAGTGAATTTCATAAATGATCGGTTTACTACACGTATGTATATTATATAGTCACTTACTAGCGAACAGTTGTTCCATTATATCATTCAATTTTTGCCGAGATCTACCGCACGCTATAGGGTAAAAGGAGGAGAGATGGACCACGAGGAGTGACGGACCACTACGTGTATTGTGGTTGATATGGCAACCCCGAGGATAGCCACGTGTGTTCTCGCTATTTATTACCTGTCTGTCTAGAGTAAGGTGTCTATGATTCGTGTCGTCTTGTAAAATGTGAAATAACTAATGTTTTCAAATCTAATAGTTTGATAAATTTTTGTGTAAATATTTGTGATAGAAGTGTCTTATAATATCGTAAGTAGAATGTTGTAGTTTTGTAATATATTAAGCAAAATCTACTTCCTCTTATCACCTAACCTAAAAATTACACAGTGGAATGCATGCAAACGGGACTTTTTAAGTGGTCCGTCTCTCCTCCCAAAAAAGGAGAGATGGTCCAGCCATAGGAAGGATAGATGGACCATGTTTTTAAAATATTTTTTTTTCTTTTAGGCAATGCCTAATATATATAAAGGTAAAGATAATGTACCTCCAAGAGGATTATGGTCCTCAAATAATTTGCAATCAGCAATAAATGCAGTAGAAGAAGGTAATATGGGTGTAAACCAAGCAGCCAAACATTTTTCAATACCCAAGACTACCTAAAAAGAGAAGACTAAAATTGAACAATTCACAAAAATTAAATAGACTAGGACCGGACTCAGCCCTAGGCGCAAATGCTGAAGCTAAACTTGCCAATCATATTAAGAAACTTCAAAAAAATGGTTTCTGTCCAACGCGACAAGAAGTAAGGGAAATGGCTTACCACCTGGCAGAGCAAATGGGAATGAAAACAAATTTAGTGCCCGTGAAGGTTTGTGAATAATGACTAGAAATGTTTTAATAGAAATTTGTTAAGTAAGTTTATGTTTAATTTTAGGCAAAGCTGGTCAAAAATGGTTAGATTTGTTCTTGAGAAGATGGCCCGATATTTTTGTGCGAAACGCTGAAAATGTTTCCATTGCCAGAGCCATGGGAATGTCTAGGCCTGTAGTGCAGGCCTATTTTGAGAACTTAGAAAGAGTGTTAACTGAAAATTTACTTTTTGACAAACCAGGTAATGTTTTTAATTGTGATGAGACTGGACTTCAATTGAACACCCGAGCTGGTCAAGTCCTTGCCCAAAAGGGATCTAAGTGCGTTCCAAGAATTAGTCCAGGAGAAAAAGGTGAAACAATATCGGTCCTTGTTTGCATTAATGCTGAGGGTGGATATTTACCTCCCTATTGTATTATGAAAGGCAAAAATAAAAAAGAGGAATGGAACGATGGTCTGCCACCTGGTTCTCGAATAAAAATGAGTGAAAATTCAGCTTACCTTAATTCTGAAATTTTCTTAGATTGGCTAAAAAATCATTTTTTGCCTAAAAAGCCTAATGGAACAGTGCTATTAGCACTAGACGGTCATTCTTCGCACACTTCAAATCTTGAAACACTTCAATTTGCAGAAGAGCATAACATCATACTTTTTTGTTTACCACCTCATACCACTCATGTTTTACAACCTTTAGATAGATGTTTTTCAAATCTCTAAAAGGGCATTATTATGAAGCTTGCAGGTATTTTGTAAAAATCACAAAGACCGAAAATTAAGCCGCCTGAATTTTGGAAAATTATTGGGTGAGAGCTGGGGCAAATCCGCAACAGTACAAAATGCTTTATCAGTTTTTCGTGCCACGGGTATAATGCCCTTTAATCCACACATAATTCCGGAACACGCATTTCTCGTTACAGACTTAGAATCAGGTGGCCCACCTGGCACAAACTTAAAACTATTGAGAAGCCAAATTTAGAAAATATTGAAAGGCCTTTATCACCACAACCTGGTCCGTCTGGGTTACAAGATTTACTAGAGAAGACTCCACCAAAGAATGTCACTACTACTGATCTGACACCTGGTCAAATTTTAGATAAAATTTCTCCTGTTCCAGAAGTAACCCTAGCCGTAAAAAAGGTGCCACGTCAAATAACTGGAGTATTATCATCTGATAACTGCAAGAAAAAAAGTGTCCAATTAAAAAGAAAACAAAGTACCCAACGATCAAGAAGCATACAATTTCTTCCTCCGATTCAGACGAAAAGCCTAAATTAGACGACTCTGACTCTGAAGAAGCCGAGAATATAGATGATTATGAAAATGAGTGCGTTGGTTGCGGGGAAGACTACAGAAAAACTAAAAAAACAGAAGACTGGATTAAATGCGTTATATGCCGGCGATGGTTACATGAAAATTTTTCAAACTTTGAATCAATATGTCAAGCATGTGGCCTAAACGTTACAAAGAAAAAGTCATAACGAGGTGGTCCATCTATCCTAGCATGTACGGTCCGTCTATCCCCGCACCTAGAGGGGAGTCGGTCCAGTGTAAGCCTTTGTAATTTATGAAATATATTTTTTTATTTATAAATATTTTTGATGTTTCTTTCGGTATTATGCCGAACAAGCATTACTTTTTATGTTTTTATAAATATATATGTCATAAATATTGTAATAAAGTTTCTATCAAAATATTTTCAAAATGTGGTCCATCTATCCTCTCTTTACCCTACAACCAACTATTTTAGAGTCTTTTTCGATAAATCGCGATAGTGTCACTGTTAATTTAAGTTCTGCCACAATTTCCATCTAGATTTACTACCTTTATACAACTATCAGTAGTAGAATAAATAATAAATAACATAAAATAAGCTCCGTAAAGACTGACAAATCCACAAAATTTCAAATCAAATTCAAATGTGTCAAATGAATCGTTAAACAGAACTGTCAAGGATCCCCACCCTATAGAGTGCTTTTTCCGCCCACCATGCATGAATACATGGATAGCATTATGCTCCTTCCTTAGTCTTCTTATTCAAAGACTAAAATTAATAAAATATCCTAGCAACAGCTTGCGGTAGTCTGTTGTATCCATAGAGAAAGCATAATATTTAGCTTATTCAACACTAAACTTTTGATTTCTAACAAAATTTTTCTTGACGGGTGTCAATGTCAGATAATCAAAACAAAATCAGTCTTACTTTATTCCTGTATGTTAGTAAAATGTAATTATCTTTCTTTGCAGACTATACAGGGTGCTACAAATTCGAGGTACGAGCATTGGTATCCCGGTA